GAAATCCAACTAGATATTAATAAAATTCATGTTTTTCTGAATAAAATGATATAAATTTTTTATAATATTTGTTTATACAGTAAATTGTCGAGAAATTAATTGTTGAAGTTTGTCCGGTTTTAAAGTGGTCGGACACTTTTGACCGGGGAGTGTACATGTAATAACGATAATGTTTGTTTCTTTGGATAATGAATTCACAAATTTCAACCCCACAAAAAAGTACCCAAGTGATTGGCCCAAAGGTTATCAAAACTCTTGAGTTACTTAAACACGAAAATGTCAATGAATATTTTACGAATTTATATAAAGGCAAAGTTATTCACGCTATTTCGGTAGGCTATCCAGAAACTTCCAAAACCAAAATTGCGGACAGACGTATATACTCATGGATTTGTCGCTGCTATTCATGAAGCCAATAAGCCTCATAAACATCTTCGTCTCAAACCAGATGATGTATGGTTAACTATCGCTCAGGGTGTTAACCAACATATCAATCTCAATGCTGAAAAATTTCGTAGTTATTTTGCTGAACATGATGAAAAAAAACAATTAGCATTTTTGCTGGTGATGAATTACGTTATGCTAACAAATGACTTGAAGATGATTGACCTGAAGTTGTCATCGCTTTGAAAACGCAACTTCGGAGAATATCGAAAAATGGATCTTCAAAAAACTCTAGAGTGTGATTTCTCAACCAGTACAACGGCAGAAAAAACAGCAAGTCGTGTCATTCTCTTAGACGCATTAAAGCAATATTTCAATTATGGGATCCGTATTAGATGTGGTATGCCAAAAGTGACTTTGGAAGGATCTCTCATATTCAGGAAAAAGTTGTAATTTTGGTCTTGATATAGATTTTTGGCTTGATCGTCTTGAACCGGTTATTTGGAAACTAGTCGCCACTTATCGCGGAGAAATCGACGAAGAATTCTGGAGCAAAGTGTTTTGAAATGGGTGGTGGATCGGGTATGCCACCTTATTGGACTGGATGGATTACAGCATTCTTCCCATATAATAAACTAAGTAAAAAAAATCACAACAAATAGCATGACAACCAATGGTGTAACGGATGGGAGAGTTTCGATACTCAGCTAGATCTAGATTTGAATTTTTCTGCTGGGTTTTTAGGTGCCAGACAGGAACTTGTTGGAAGTGGAGACGATGCTGAAGTTTAGGTTTCTCCTTTGATTGTGTTAGTTTGTTGTGGACCGAGATAAAAATGACAATAATAATTCGAATTAATATATAGCAACTTTGATTTCTATATTTTTGTTATTCAAACAATAATAAATAACGATATAGTCTAGCTCTAGAATTAGTACGTCCAAGTAAGACATTTCTACATATCAGTATGATAATTGTTGTTTATTCAATCTTATACTTCCTGAAAAGTTATGATCATAAGAGCATTTAACATTAAATAGTTAAAGAAATGCCAAAGTTAACGATATTGGAACTACGGTTATAAAAAGACCTAATGAAAAAAATTAATACTGTATTGTAATACCAAAATTGATTGAAAAGTTCTCCATTACTTCGCGACGTCTTTTCATTAATACCACAAAATTGATTAGAACGATTTCTTGGATAGCTCTCCTCTCTTCCACCATAAATCTTTCTAATTCATTAGGATTTTGTGCGTTCGCTTCCTACATTTCCTTCAACCCCAAAAATTTTCAATAGGATTTAACGTCAGGAGAGTTTCTTGTATTCTTTGGTAAATTTATTGTCTGATTGAAGTCATCAAGTATATTTTCAAACTTTGTAAGAATTACAACATAAAATTCAGCATTCATAATTTTGTTGCACGAAATCCACCCCTGGATCTTTTATCATATATTGAATATATATATTTCATGCCAGCAATTTACCGTAGTTTGAAATAGTTAAAAGGCTATTTCGTCTAGAATAAGGTCTGATTCCAGTCATATTTAAAAATCTTTTTTAGAACATTCAACACGTTTTTGTCTATTTTGAGAGATTTTTGTATCCATCAATTTCTAAATGTCTTGAAAAAGACATATGATATCTTAAGACCTTTGACTTATTTTTTTAGTCAAGACTCATGTTGAAAGGGAGATATCTTCTGAAATATGTTTGTCCAAGGGGACTTGAAAAATCGTCATAATTTTTTAACCGAACATTTGGTGATCTATTTTTTTTAATGTTATGGTAGCGAAATGTTAGTTTGTATGTTATTTAGCATCACGAATTCCTAGTGAATTTTGTTAGCGAATTAAACGGTTTCGCATTTTACAGGTTTTGTCACATATATTAGAATTGGACGATACATATCAAACATCATAAATATTGTTAAAACAGAACATTTTACTTATTTTTCATCAAATAACTTTAAGACACTTAATATAAAAAATAGCATTAAGATATACTGTAGTGTGAAGGTATAGATAGTTATTCATAACTAAAATAAAGATAACGATTGAACTTAGTTTTGTATTAAAAAAAATAACAGGAGCTTAAATGATATGATTTAATCGAAAAACTCGTAATTTTTGAAATTCCAAAATTAGGGGATCGTTAAAGAATGATATCCCAAATGCATGGAATGCCAAAATCATCTCGTTTGTTCAAAAATTCGTGTGTTCGGGAATGCCATCCATTCGGAATTTCATTTGTCGTACTTATGAATTGTCGGAAAGTTGTACGCCAATAGTAAACTCACTTGTAAAAAAGAAACAAAAAAAACCTTTTCTTAAACATTAAACGAGATTCAAGATGATATATTGACGCCAAATTTTTGGATTGGTGGAAGAAATATTATCGGTATTTTCTAAAGCGAACAAAGTTATGATGTCTCTCTTTTTATTAACCAACATTAGATGAGAGAAAAATTCGTAGTGGATGCCTATTATATTAGAAATAAAAATAAAAATACTGTAATAAATCGCTTAACAATGATTTGTTGAATATACCGAGGAAAGGGGAAATTAGTTTTACAACCTGGATGCGAACCAGCTTGTACGATAGCAGCAGACGTGGTAAAGCTGCTCCAAGCGACTTTTTTTAGTTTTTTTAGTTTCATTCCTCCTCATCACGCATGTTACTATGCTACGAAGAAATAAAAAGATATGATATTTATCTATAGGGTTAGTGTAATGGTGAATAAGGATAGTAGATAGACATAAGAAAATATCTTATCTATATTATCCTTCCTCTTCTATATCTTCTCTACCTTTATTGCCTCTCCTTACGTTGTGATAATGTCGTTGATTTAATGTAAAATCTTCTTTACTATGTAAGCCTAAAAATGTATATATAGGTACGCTAAAGAATTTAAATAAAAAATTAATTTCCATACAAATTCTTTAATAAAAATAATAAACCTGAAAATTGCTTTGTGATAATTGCTTAAATCACTGAGGTTAGATCTTTGGTTCAGAAAAGGCATCATAGTTTAGCAATCAAAATTGAGAAATCGACGTTGAAGAGCGGCTTAGCAGACTCTTATAATTCCCACGCACAAATCCACTTATTTCCTCTCACAATATTTAATAATTTCTAAATCTCCGCAACCTTGAAAACCCAAAATATTCTATTTCTAACTCGCATCAAACGATCTCCGTAGATATCAGGCAGTTGACGCTAACCACGTGCTAAGTCTAATTTCCCTCCCAAACCCACGGACAGACGAAAATCTCGTGTATCTTCGTAAACAAACTTATCGATATACATGTACAGTACCCATAGAAAGTATCGCCCGATGCAAAATTAAAAATAAAACTTTAGATCACTTTTCAATTTATTTGATTTTCATCAATTTATACACAAAATAAAAAATAAAATTTATTTAATATTTTATTAGTCCTCCATTTGACTCCAATAATGCATTAATTCTTCGTGGCATTGATGCAGTAACCCGTTCTAAAATGACCATCAAGTTTTTCCCCACTCCATCTTCAGTACAATCTTAAGTTCGTCCACAGTCGTCGGAAAGTTTCTCATTTTTTTGAATATTATCTTTTAATATCTTTCAAATGTTCTCTATTGGATTCAGGTCTGGGAAATTCGCCGGCCAATTAATAATCACAATTTTATTTCACTTGATTTTTCCCGCAGTATGTATCGGCGCATTATCTTGTTGAAAGATTGCGTAACTTCCAGTTAATTTTCTAATTGCGTTCTGGAATGGAAGTAATTGAGTTTTTAAGATTTTGAGGTAAGTATTTACAGTTATTTTTTCGCTAATTTTTTATATCCATCACAAAAAATTAATAGTCCTTCCCCAAAAAATTACAGATTTTCATCCATTTTTAAAGGTAGACGTCAAACAATTAACGTTAAACTTTTCTCCAGGATGCCGCCAAACTCTTGGCTGCCGTGACTGCTTTCCAATTTCCACACTGGTTTCATCAGAGAAAATTACTTTCGACCAATCATAAGCTGATTTATTTTTATTTTCTTCACACCACTTAATATGAGCATATGCATGTGTTTCTGCGATATAGGTTTCTTTGCTGCGATACGTGATTTAAGTCCGGAGTTGTGCAATACATTTGCGACGGTTGTTAAACTACAAGTGAGGCCTAAATTGTTGACTATTTTGCGTAGTGATGCATGTCATTTTTCGTTAGCTTCACGTATAAGCAAATCCTTTTCGTGATTGTTTAAGGCTGGTAATCTTCCTAAACGTGGTAAATTTTCACTTTTCTGGTTCGTTTATATTTATTTAGAAAGCGGCGTACCGTTGTAGGGTCGCGTCCGAGTATTTTTGTGATTTGAGCGGCATTTGTGGTGCCCATGTACGCCAAAATCTTCCCTTTTCAATTTCGTTAAGCTGCGTATAGATGGACACCATTTTTTAACCTAACGAAATTTATAGTGGCAAAGTGATGTTTATTATCAAAAAAGGAGAAAAATAAATGTATTTTTAAAAAAATGGTTACACACGTAAATCACTTTCTTACTGTACATATCAGGAAGTTTATCGCTATTCATAATTAACGTGTAATTCAAAAAATTATCGTAACAAGTCTAGCAATTATATGTACATTTATTAAGAATTTTCATAATGCCCGCCCTTTTATCAGTATTAGCTTCATTGAGCTTGATAGATTTCTTCAATATTCTTTTTATTCTGTTGATTTTCTATGTTCTTCGATTTTACATTGATTACTTTGCACGTGAAAATCCTCTTCCCGGTCCATTTCCTTTACCTCTCATCGGAAGTTTATACCAAGCGCAAGGTGAAATGAAACATTGGGAAAATTGGTACTTACATCTTCATAAGAAATACGGTGACATATTTGAAGTTTGGTTCGGCCCAACACGTAAAATATTTTTAAGCAAATCGGGACTAATTGAAAAACTTGCAGCGAAATCAACAAAGAGCAATTTTCTTTTACGATATAGCAGTGGCTCATATAAAGGATTAGAACATTACGCCAATCCACGAAGAGGAATGTTTTTTAACGGAAATATTTCACACTGGAGATCAACCCGTAAAGTGATCGATAATTTATTAATGTCACCCAATTATCAGCGCGAGACTTTAAAAAAATCGCAAATTTATTTCGCGGAGATGGAAGAATACTGGAAACTACTTAGAAATGATAACGCTTTACTTTTATCCGCATGGGCAAAGAACTTTTTAACAGATTTAATGTATGATTTGAATGTTGGAAGGCGATGCTATTTTATGGTGAAGTATTTCAATTCCCTTGCAAATTCAGGAAAAAAGGAAATACCAACAGAAGAATTAAATTTTTGCAATGATCACGAACAAGCAACTTCAGTTATAGGAGAAGCGCTCATATTCTTTTTTACGTCGCCCGAATTGGTATGGCGATATCTTTTCGCTCACCGTACCCAACGATATATTCAATCTCGTGAAACTTGGCATAGATCTTATGAAAAATTTATTCATCAACGCCTTGATCAACGAGCACAGAGTGGTTACGACTCTAAATTAAAGCCGGATGCATTGAATCTACTTCTTGACTTGAAAGAAGAATCTGCACTGAATAATAAAGATAATGGAGGTGACAATTATCGCATGGATGAAGAAGATATTCGGGACTCATTACAAGAGATTATGAATGCTTCCGCATCTACGGTAAGGCTACGACATTTGAATTTAATTAAATTAATATTTGTTTAATTGACATGTTATTATGATTGAAATCTCAGACTGCCGGTGTATTCGGTTATATTATAGAATATATTGGGCGAATTCCCGGAGTTAAAGAGCAAGTTGAAAAAGAAATTCGAGATCATGCAAGTTCAAAAACTAATACAATAAATATTGAAGAATTTGCACAATTTAAATACATCGAGGCGGTAATCTATGAAGGTAAAAATAAAACTCTACTATTTTATTTACAAACTAAACTCACAATTATTTGTTTAATTCAAATAGTTCTTCGCGTAAGATCCGCATTTATGATCGAAAGAACAAATACCCAAGAAGAAACAATCGGCGGATACAAATGGAAACCAGGCACCAAATTTTGTGTCAATATTCAACCAATCCATTTCAATCCGGATATCTGGCATGATCCCAACGAATTCAGACCAGAGAGATTCTTGAACAGGGAGATTAAAAATCCAAAAACTTATCTTTCTTTTGGTTTAGGATTGCGATCATGTCCCGGACGATTAGTAGGAATAACTATCTTGAAAGCGATGACAGTTTTGTTGTATCGCAAGTATAATGTGGAGCTACTTGATACTGACATGCCTATAAAATATCAAAACAAATTCGCTAATGCTTGCATTGGAGCTAGGGTTAAATTGACACCAAAGAAATAGGTATTATCTTTTAATTAAATCCACTACTTACATATTATTATAACGAGCAAATACAAATATATTCTATACAATAAATATTGAACGGATAATGTGTTGGTGGTGATGGTACTTGATGGTTGTGCACTTTGTGACCGTTCATAATACGTGTATGTGTTGTTGAATGATTTAGTTGATTCACATTATTATTGTTATTGTTCTTCACGCGACCTAACATATCTAAAAACTAAACATCAACTACATAATCTCATAAAAAGCTCGAGTGCATCAAATCGTTGCTGTATATGTTGAACCGCGGGATCTTGTGAATGTGGAATTAAATTGCTTTCCAGCTAGTGTATCACCGTATTACGGAAATTTTGCGAGAATTTACAACAGCATGTTTGTACGCAACCCCAGGGTCTTTGTGTATTGTTCCCTTTTATTTAAATTGTGAGATGACGGTATGTGCATGTGTATAAAGATGATTAAAAAATCTTACCGAAGCATAGTGTATATACCCCAGCGGCAAGACCTCATGCACCACCAAACGAACTTAATACCTAAAGAATTACTAATAAATTAGGTTTACTTTGTTTCTATAATCATAATGATTTAATCCTGTTAACAAACTAGATTATAGCAACAATCAATAATTAAGCCAGTTTTATTTTCATTATTGTTTAGTCTCGACCGTGACTAACAAGTCTTTAACTCGAACCTGCAAAGAAGCAAAGAAAAGTGAACTATCATTACCAATAGCTTTGGATAACGAGCCGGTTACTATAAAAATAATAAATAAAAAATAACAACATAATTATTTATATTTTTGATTTTAATTAAAAAACCCTGTGATTCCTTACCAACATTAACGTAAGGTTCACTACTTTGATGTGGTGGTATTCTGAAATTTGCCCATGGATTTGTCTGGATAATTTCCTTGATTGATCTTGTATATGTACATGTACGTCGAAAGTATGCTAATGCAGTATAAGAAATTATAAATGCGGTTGAAAATTTTTAGACTATAAATCGTTTCCTTTAGTGACAGAGGGAGCGTTCCTACAAAATAACTGTAAAAAAATAAGCAAATGGCATCATTACCAATATGGTTAAAACCTCCCGGAGTTGAGACGGGTAAGCTTCTTCTCATGTATCCTATTCACCACCTCCATATGAGATAGACATTAGAAGGATGTTCAAAAGAGGTTTACTCAACCCACAATCTTACAGTGGCCACGATGCGCTTCCAGTTCTCTTCTATCATCATACTTCTGATGGCAGCATAACTTCAGATACAAATGGTTAGACAAATAACTTAATGAAACAATATCTCATCCTATTCTGTAATAATGAAAAGTCATGCTTTTTTGAGTCCAAGCTCGTTTCCTTTAGTTACAGAAGGAGTAAATGTGATCAAGACTTATGTAGAGTTCTGTTTATAATAAAGTTTTTGAAATTTTTACATATAGATACAACTACTTAATATAATCTTATCTCTCATCTATAGAAATTTACTCTAATTATATATATAAAGCAACTCTTGATATATAATAAAGCTTTCATTATAATTATCATTATTATCATCATTATCATCATTATCATCATCATTATCATCATTATTATTATCATCATCATTATAATAATAATAATAATAATAATAATAATAATAATAATAATAATAATAATAATAATAATAATAACAATATTAAAATTTCTTGATGCATCTCTTTCCATTACATCTCATGGGAATTAGGAAATTTTATCACATACTTTAATTTTAAAGAGTTTTTATACAATGTAATTAATATTTATTACAAGATAAGTCATATATTGGAATCTAGCAGCCTGAAGAACTGCTCTTTTCTTATCTGGTACCTACTTGTCATAACTTTGCATATAATTTAATACACACAAAACTTTCTTTTCTTCACATATCTTCTTCCTTTTTCTGCACTCACAATTAAAGATGGCACAGCAAGTATGTAATGCTTATTTGTCACCTGTTGCAACATGTTGCAACTCCAAAATTTTATAAGTTACAACTAGTTATAACTAGATGATACTTTATTTATTATCACGTTATAATAGTTGAGGAGCCATCTTTACTCACAATTATTATAATATAAGAGTTATATGTAAGATTATTTTGTTAATGGTTGTAAATAAGATAAAATGCGATATGAATAAGTTTTAATTTTATAACTTATGATT